TGTAGTTGCCTTCACAGGATTTATCCTTAATCACATGTAGTTACTTTTACAGGATTTACGCTTAATCTCATATAGTTGCTTTTACAGGAATTACCCTTAATCTCGTATAGTTGCTTTTAGTGGATTTATTCTTAATTTTTATATTCCTGTGTTATCAAACATAGTGTATTAATTTCATTTTTCTTAATTTCAAAGCATTAATCATTGATATTGACAGTTGTTCATAACTCTGGTCTCACCGTTAGACATCAGTTTCAGCGCCAACAATTTTTAAGACAGTTTGACAAGTGTATCTATGATTCCAATCATAATAACACAATGAAAAGAATATATTATAACACTATACAACAAAGAGCCACATAATGGACCTTCTATCACTGCTCTATTCACTGTTAACAGCAGTGGGAAACAGTCACCTCTCCGCTAATTAGTATGCGTGCAAAGTTCTTCCCACATTCTAGATTTCAAATGCACAGCTGGTTGAACCTATTATATTTCATTTACTTGTTTGGTGAAAATATAAATTTGCTCAGTAACATTTATTTTTCCCAACCATTAAATTAAATTGAATTCACTTGAGATGCTTTTTTTTCTTGTCTCATATTTCTTAATGTTGTGTTATTAAAAATGATTTCAAAAGTAAACAACAGATATGGATTAAAAAATAATCAGTTGAATATTATACAACAGATGCTGCAAGCTTTGCATTCATATTAATTAATTAATTAATTAATTAATACAAAATTAAAAAAAAAAAATATTTTTTTCCCCCAGAATAATTTATTGAATTATTGATGTACATTACATTCACTAGTCTATTGTTGAGATTTGTGGCCTGTGAAGGAATTTACCACCATCCAATAAAGCATGTTCTTTCAAACATGTAATTTAGGTTGCAGTATTATATATTTGACGTTGAATAATTTATGCATTACCTTTTTCAGAGTAATTGTATTCTACTTGGTCGTTACTTGCTATTCCTTTGAGAGACATAGGTTATTGATTTGGTCAAGGTTTTCAGAGGGTTTTATAAGTGATCTGAGAGTTGAGATAAAGCAGACTGATAGTAGTTTTCGTTGACTGCCACATGCTTTGAATGACAATTAACTTGCCACCATTGCTTTCTCTTTAGCTCTTCCATAAACTAAAATGTTTGTCGTTGTCATTTAACACTATATAATAACATTAGCAGTTTTTTAAATTATTTTTAAACCCTTCTAAAATTTGCAGAATCTTTTTATTGGAATCAAGTTTATTTGTGTAGTCATAATAAGAAATCAGTTGACACTGATTTGCATTCCACACCTCCTAAAGGTAAATCTATCATAATATTTGGTACCTGTGATGGGATTATGGAAACATACGACTTACATCCATAATTATTTGACTTACATTTAATATTGATTTTGTTAATTATTTAATACTGAATGTATATTAGATAGCTCATAATTGTCAACATATAACAAAGTATTAAATTAAGTTTTGGATTTGCCTAAGATGTCAATCATAAGAGGTGCACAAATGAATATTTGCAGCTTAGAATGATAAATTTGTTTTGTTTAGCTTTTTTATATTTTATATTAATGCCTTTCATCATTGTAAAATAGTCGAATGGGTTATCAAATTATTAGGAACTGGAAGAAGAATACATCTGTACAGTATAAATCATGTACAGTGTATAAGTATTTTGACATAAAATGAATGCATATCATAATATTTTATTATGATAATCATTATTCTAAAAAGGGTTTTTTTTCTTAATAATTATAATCATAAGCAAATATGTCTTTTCCGTAGTTAATAATAATTTAATATCATTTGATCTGTTGAGCATTCGGATGCTTTTAGCTATAGCATCTGGCATTGACAGGTCTTGTCTTAACTATTCCCATAATCTGCCTTTCTAAACTCCATTATTATATTACATTGTACTTACTAAATAGCTTTCAATAGATTGTGTTATTTCTTTTTGTTAGCTAGACTATATTTTATTTTCTTTCAATGGATTATCCTAAATATCAGTTAGGAATGAATACAATCTAATAATATATGTACAATGTGTGTTTATGGATAACATTTTAAACTTTTTTTTAGCTTCTTGATGTGATGTGATGTGATGTGATAAATACAACCCTCACAAATATTTACTTATTAAATATTACTTATTTATAGAATCCAAACACCTCTGTAAGTTACGTATTTAGTTTATGCGCTACTAATAGAGCTGTATCTGAATAAATAGGAATCTCCAATATTATAACCATTGAATATATCATCTTGTGATACATACATGTACAACTCCCACATATTATTAGTCCCCGAATGGTGGCCATTTTTGTGCTAAAAAATCATCAAATATCAAGCATTTCTGGCATTTATGGATGGATTTTGTTCAAACTTGGTACATACATTAGACATTACGGGTTCCTGATGCACGTTATTTTATTTTTTAGATCGGATTCAGAATGGCTGACTAGTGGCCATTTTGTTTTAATGAATGGGCTTCTAGAGCCATATCTCTGACATGCTTTGACTGACTATGTTCAAATTTTATATATTCATTATACATGTATTCAAAATAGCTGATTTTGTTTTAATTAATGCTGTTCCAGAGCAATATCTCTCAATACTCGTTTGACGATCAGATACAAATATCAATCATTTAAATGTTAAACATATTCCTGACAGGTTTATATTCCAGCTATATTACTATAAACAAAACTATATATCTTAAATTCGATAACTAACAGGGACTGTGCCATGCATGGCTTGTTAATATATCATTGGCAAATATCATCTTGTGATACATACTAAAACTGATAAAAAAGATTCTCATCCATCTAAGAATCTGATGTCTGTCAATCTGATGTTGCAGTTTTATGCTAGTATTTCGATCAGTTTAAAATGCAGCTGAGTTTATTACAGACTACTAGTACTATAAATGGAGATGTGGATAAATTCATGAGACCAATGGTTTATTCATTAGACACGTGCAGTTTTTCTAATAAACACTTTTTTCATTGTCATATACTGCTTACTTCAAAATATTATAATTATATACATTAGACAACTCATGAACAATTTTACTTGTGTATGTTGTCAAGTTTTTTTGGTTTTTTTGTGTTGTTAAGTTGTATTTTATTTACCTCGAAATCATAATTTGGAATTTAAATTCCATTTTTCTTTTAGTGCATCATGGCCTCTAAGTAGATATGAGAGATGTGACGCAACTCGTTGTGCTACTGGCACATCAGTGGCGCAACAGAAAATGTTGATGTAATGATTTGGAAAAACATCTTATTTGCAGTTGTGGAATGTGTAATTTGGTTAAAAATAAAATTCACATTTTATAAACAAAAGTATAAAAATGAAAGAAATATGGGTCCCACAGCATTTTTATTTGTGACTTCAGTCACCCAGACAGTCATGTACAATTTAATTTTTTTTCTTAAAAACCAGCCTCTCCAGACAAACTGACTCAACTTGTTTTTTGGTGTACCATTTTGTTTCGGAAGTTAGAGGGCACACTGGTGCAAAAAGATCAGAAGTTAGAGGGCACAATGGTGCAAAAAGTTTGGGGGCATACTGGTACAAATAGTGAGTTCATCTTTATTCTGCCAGCCCTATGAACTTTTACACTGATTCGACCAGATAGGGGTTAAAAGTTGAATTATCAAATGATTATGCACCAAAACAAATACATGTGTGCCATCTTAACATAATCATTTGTTTGACTTTTTTTTGCAGTCTAATCCTATTATCCATTATCTGCAATTGAAATTTATTATGTATGTATCCATTGACGAGTTATTCCCAGCAATTGTAATTATACGATTGAAGTAATTCCGGAGAACAATCCCACAATCATGCCGTTAGAAATTTGTACATTTAATAGATAGCATAATAATTAATGTATACCATTTATGAATCATAGCACGTATTCCTGGTCCAGAAATAGTTCTTGACTCAATTTGTAACAGCTGGAATACACAGTGAATATGGTTTTTTTTGTCATAGTCAACAAAGAATGTTGATGTGGTATTATGGGACCTAATTTTGCTTAGGCCTATATATACAGAATAATTTTCACAAGAATTGTTCACATTGTTAGCATAGTGTACAATGTTTTTCTATTACATGTATGATGGATTGTGGGTATTTTTTTAAGAATTGCAGCTACAGTTCTGAAATTTGATGAGTGCATGGGTGTTTGTCTGAGAAACAGAAATCTGCTAGCAGCATTCTGAGTGGTTCTGATTCTGATTGCTACAGTTCTGAAATTTGGTGAGCGTATGGGTGTTTGTCTGAGAAACAGAAATCTGCTTGCAGCATTCTGAGTGGTTCTGATTCTGATTGCTACAGTTCTGAAATTTGGTGAGCGCATGGGTGTTTGTCTTAGAAATCTGCTTGCATCATTCTGAGTGGTAAAATACTTTGGCTGCCATCTTGGATTAGTCTAAACTGGAAGTGGCAATTTTTTACTCTTTTTGAGAGTCTTGTCAGTAAATTGTGACTGTTCTATAATTGCCACCCCAACTTGTCAATCAATCAGATTTTGGCTGTTCTATATTCTGATTTGTCACCCTATCTTGTCAGTAAATCTGATTGTGGCTGTTCTATATTCTCATTGGCCACCCTATCTCGTCAGTAAATCAGATTGTGGCTGTTCTATATTCTGATTGGCCACCCGATTTTGTCAGTAAATCAGATTGTGGCTGTTGTATATTCTGATTGGCCATTCTAACTTGTCAGTAAATCAGATTGTGGCTGTTCTATATTCTGTTTTGCCACCCTAACTTGGTCTGTAAATCAGATTGTGGCTGTTCTATTTCCAATTTGGCCACCCAATCTGGTCACTAGATTTAAAACTTAAAATTTTAAAAAAGTGTCTTTTAAAAGCAAAAATACTCCAATGGATTTGTAAAACTAAGGGTTTTGCTTTTTTCTTCAAACTTATTCTTTAATAACTGTTTTTTTTATCTCTTTCTTCACTTTTACAGAAAAAATCAAGAACAAATATGGTGATTTACCAGGTGAACTCCTTCTAATAGATTTAGAAAAGAATGAAAATGGACTCGGACTCAGGTAGACTATGAAATCTTTTCTAGATTGTGTAGCAAAACTTGCATGTATAAAGGATATCTAATGGGTGACTCTGGATTATCAAATGGGTGTAGTATAGGCTCAGAACAAATGAAAATTACTTCCTCAGTTCAATAAATCTGATATTATAACAAAATCCCACACCCTCCCCGTGGCTTTCGTTGCATATGGAAGTTATTTTCACGAGTGATGCGGTGTATCCACAGTCAGCTGGCGCACACGTAATAATAAAATAAATACGATATTTACTATATGGGGCCGCCATCTTGAATGCAGCATAAAACTAAATAAGATACAAGTTGTGAAACGCGTTTTTCAGATTCCTACAAATCAGAACAAAATACCAATCTTGCACAGAAATACGATCCATTGGGATAATATTAAGCCAGCCGATAACAAAACTTGGTCGAATTCGTCGTTATTGTGTGGGAAAATCCCTTAAATACGAACATCTACATGTAATTACACGAAGAACAAAGAACACTTTCCTGGGGTATTCCTGGGGCGCAGTACACTGCAGGATACACTGCATCATGCATTATTATTGATTGGGTATTTTACCAATGTTTGCTTTATTAGAAGTATATCTCTAATAGAAGCATCCATAGACCAAATACTGCACTTATTGTATACTGAATCATGACTTCAAGCGAGAGGGTCGTCACCTGCGCACACGCGGGAATTTTGATCCCAAGCGACGATAACATCACACAGTAAGAACGCAAAGGCTCATGGGTAGATGCTTGTTTGTAAACAATGACATGTTATGGCCATCTGACGCATGCAAAGGTGACAACTCCCCCGCTTTAATTTGGACTGTAGACACGTACATTGTGTACCTGTCATTTATGTATAAAGTACATGCAGTACTAATAAAGTAAATATGGTAGCTTTGATATATACAGTAACGTTGTTCATGTAGACGTTTCTCTAGTCATGCATGTCATAATGAATGAGACATTTGTAATAGTTGTTGAACATCAAATCCATACAGATGCACACTTTATAGCTAATTATACTAGAGTGTAGTCCTTGAAACTACCTGTGAGTATTTAGTAAACGTCTTCAATTTCGCGAGCAGCATAATCTTTGAGTGTTTGAAGAGTCCATGAAAATTAAGACAAGTCGTCACAGTGAAATGTAATCAACAGTTTGACATGCTTGTTCTAAATTCCTATAAATGATTCGTATTAGCCTTTTCACCACCAGACTTTCTCGCCCAAATTTGTCTTTATTATATTCTTCCGAATCAATATTTCTGGAAATGTACTCTAATTTTGGAACCAACAGACAAATTTGAGTCAATTTTTCAGTTTTTACTCAAAAAAATTTTGCTATTTTTTCTAAATCTTCTGAAAGATAGTGCAGACTATAAAGAGAACTATTTTGTGAATTTGTGATAAAAATAGGGAAGTACCGATAGTGGTGAGAAAGTGAAGATTACTGTTCTGTATTTTTCCTTATATGGTAGTGATGATATTCAAATAGGTCGAATTAATTATAAGTAGTAACAGGAGAAATATACTTATTTATTATAATATATGTAGTTCAGTGTGATAAAACAGAATTATTATCAGTTTTCATATCTCCATAGTATGTGATAATAATATTCCCAGAACTCTTATCAGTCCATGCATGCATGAGTGTTGCTATGATGGCCAACAGTCTCAAAACACGTACGTCACCGATATCTTTATGTTCGTGGGTGTACATTACATCTCCTGATAGATTAGTAGAAATTGTAATAATTCAAGTATTTTTGACAATTTCAGATGTCAGCTAAAATGAGTAATGTATTATAAGCCTCATTTCTAATTCTCCTAACTTCTACTTGTCTGCATATGCACTGTATGTTTGATTCACTTAGGTCTAGTGGTCATTTTTCATAGATTAATTTGACTACTAAATTAATTACCACTACATCCCTGAAATCCTAAATATTGGTGGCTCCAAATCGTATATTTTGTAATGGTATGCAAATTGACTGTTCAGTGTTCATGAACAGTAGCCATTTATCAAACAAAACAGGATGTTCTATGATGTCTTGAATATGCGTACACAAATGATAATTTCTATGTTAAAAGCTGTGAAACTAGGCTAGATTTATTCTTGTGAAGCGGTCTAGAAGACTGTAAGCGGGCCTTACATAAGGGTCTGTCTGTCCACGCAAGTTTCCATGGTAATGTACTGAAGTCATGGAGACAGCCAATCAGTGATGACACAGAATTCTGTGCTGACTATATGTAGTTAAATAGAGATTCAAAGATTCATTTATTGGGGCTAATTGTGTGATATAATTGTATTCATTTGATAGTTTGGCAGGCAACAGAGATAGGAATAAAGCCAGTGTGTTCATAGTTGGTGTTAAGCCTGATGGAGCCGCTGCTGAGGATGGAAGAATCAATGTCGGTGATGAAATACTTGAGGTATTTATAGTCTCTAACCATTCAGGTTTCATGTCAACAAGCAATATGTTATTAAATATTCACTGCATGGTTTTTCAATTTTCGCTATTTTCAATGATAAGTGAAATTTGCTAAATTAAATTCAGGTGAACATGTAGAATATAAAAATATGGATTCATTGTTTTCCTGCCAAGTATGTGAACTTTAAAAATCCAATGAAATTGCTCTAAACATCAAAATAATGAAATTAAATGCGAGTGAAAATAAATGGTTTTACAGTATTTTATGTCTCCTGTATCAAAAATGATACAGTATGACAATTACAATACTCTTAACTAAAGGTATATCTGTCTGTATAACCATGCTGGCATCATTCTGACATTTGCTGCTATCAGTTCCTCAGCAACTTCAAGTTCAAGTCCAAAATGCAGACAACTGTGAAATATTACAGAATGCTATCTGTACATTGGGTTACAATAGAGGACATGGACATGATAGCATCAGATTGTATCATTTCTATTGTAGTACATATGGTTATTATTTTTAAAAAATGGCTGAACAACAACTATTTAGTGATGAAAAAATGTCATTGCTTTGCAAGCTTGTTCATTTTTTATTTCAAAAGTGACACACATTTTCTCCCAAAATTATTAATAAACAACATAAAAAATATCTTTTAATAGCGATGAGTTACTGATCTACGCGAGTAACAGATACAAAGACATGTACACCACCCATTTGTCAAACTAATTTATTTTTAAATCAAACCTTCTGTTTCCTGTAGATAAATGGTACAGTATTATATGGAAGAAGTCATCAGAATGCCTCTGCTATTATTAAAGGAATACACAGTAGTATAATTAAAATGATTATTCTACGATCCACTGATAATATGGCACAGTTAGCTGTTCCACCGTTGCAATTCTATCCAGTACTCAAGAGCAAGGTAATTAGACAAGAGAATTCATTTTCTGTTAATGTATAACTGGTACATTATATTTTATTTACAATGAGTGTGACTAAATGCACAAAACATACAGTACTATCATTATATGTCATTTGATTTTGGCCAAAAATTTAATGTTTGTGCAATATATGCTGAAGACGAAATTTCTCGGTTTTATTGTCTCCTTTCTTTGGAGTCTATAGTTTGTGTGATTAAATTGTCCTGTTTTTTTGATAAATTGCTTTTTTCAAGTCATAAAACACGCGTTAATGTCAGTTCTTTTGATGTTCAGATTAAGATAGGTTTTACTGTGATTGTGACTATATACTTTGCTTTACAGGGAGACTTTGACCATTCTCCACATCATACACCAAAAAAAGAACACTTTGACAGTAACATTGAATATCACCATGGCGACAATGACTACAGGGAGGATTTTTCCACTTATTCTAATGTACAGAATATTACACTGAGAAAGGTATTTTTAATGTTCTGATGATTCAATATTGTGTCATTATATTTCTATGGCTCAACAGAGTACAATTTATTTAAAGTAAATGTAATTGAACATAATTCACTAGACAGTTTCTTTCTGCAGGGAGCTGGTAGTCTGGGTCTTGCAATTCAAGCCAGAAATTCAGGGATCTTTATCAAAGATATCACATTTGGAGGGGCAGCATTTCAGGTAGATTGGCTTGTTCGATTTGTTGGACCATGTATGAACCCTGAAATGCACATACCCATGAACACTCAAATGAACATACCCATAAACACTGAAATGCACATACCCATAAACACTCAAATACATGTACCCCATGAACACTCAAATGCACATACCCATAAACACTGAAATGCACATACCCATAAACACTGAAATGCACATACCCATAAACACTGAAATGCACATACCCATGAACACTGAAATGCACATACCCATTAACACTCAAATGCATGTACCCATGAACACTTAAATGCATGTACCCATGAACACTCAAATGCATATACCCATAAACACTGAAATGCACATACCCATGAACACTCAAATGCATGTACCCATGAACACTGAAATTCACATACCCATTAACACTCAAATGCATGTACCCATGAACACTCAAATGCACATACCCATTAACACTCAAATGCATGTACCCATGAACACTTAAATGCATGTACCCATGAACACTCAAATGCATGTACCCATGAACACTCAAATGAACATACCCATGAACACTCAAATGCACATACCCATTAACACTCAAATGCATGTACCCATGAACACTCAAATGCATGT